GAGAAGAACATTTTTCGGTCGCTACCCGGATTCGAACCCGGGACCTTTGAATGAGAGGCCAACACCTTAACCTCTAGGCCACGAGAGCCCCCCTCACAATTTAAATCTTTTAGAAGGCGGGCTGCCTCGACCCTGTCTGGCAGGGCCAACTCGGGCTAAAACAGAGACCACGTCTCAGGAGACAGACGGAGATATAATTGGTACTTGATAAAGGAAACGAACTAACGTTTTCTGCATTTGAAGGCAAAGTGCTTAGCCACTACACCACCGCCGACCCTTGCGATCATGAGAAGACTCGCTCATCAGTCGTTGGGAAATTGTTAGCTTGAAAGTACATGTACATGTTTATGCCAATTCCAGCTAATTACTTATGCATTATCTATAAACCTTTTATTTTTTACCAACTTAAATCTACCAGTATCTATTTATTTATGAACATGTGTAATTTAGTGCTCCCGGTAAAGATATGAGCCGAAACCCAAGTGACAGAGTCTGATTTATTAAGTATTGTTGCCTCAAACACCCGACAATAATTACAACAGTCATAACGACAACAACAGCAATAACACCACCACCACCACCACCACTAAAAACAACAACAACAGAACAACAACAAAAACAACAACAACAGCAACAGCAACAGCAACAACAACAACAACGACACCTACTTTAAAAGCAGCAACAAGCACAACCAAAAGAAAACACTTAGGCCTACCTTAATTCAAAATGTACATCCCGTAATCAAAAACATGCTATTTAATAAAACAGCGTCCTGAATTGGGCCCGCAGGGGCAGCTACAGACAAGAAAACGTTTTAAAAAACATTATTACGAGATATAAAAGAAGCTGAAACAGGAAAACGTTGACTCACACAGACAGTTTCAATAAATAAATTTCACACTCCCGACAGATTTACTGGTACATGCCCGCACAAAATATAGGTGAGGGGTAAATCATCAGTTTTCACGAACCCAGCCCAAAACTCTGAAGATGTGAGTCTGGGCATAAATCAAAAGCCCCATCTGAACCACGTGTCCCCAAGCATATTTGTCACGACACAGTGGAATCAGGCGCTCGTCAATTTTGGAGTATTAGGAGTTATTGGTACCATCTTAAAGCTTGTTCATTTGACTTGCTTTTGATGGACAATGATGTACGCAACTTTTTTGGAAAGAAATCGAGATATTTGCAATTGAAGGAGGTGGAAGTCACCTGGTGTCAATGGTTAAGCTAGTAAGAAAATAGCCACCAAAATTTGCTAACTTCCAAAGCTTGAGTGTCCATGAAAACTGCAAAATTTCATTAAAATTCTTTTGTTCCCTTCATAATTGCTTTAAAAAAAGTAAAAATCCATTCAGAAATAAGTTTCTAAAAGGACATAAAAGGTGCTCAGCCGAATAAAAATCGATACAAATAGTCCAACGGGCGGGGAAAAGCCAGTCTCTTCGGTTTCACTATATTGACGAGCGGTTGATTTCAGCACGATGTCACACATAGCTCACTTAGCTCACCTGGCTTTCATAGAAGTACACATTGCTGCACACTACTGCACAATGCGGATATGCTCAACAGTTTCAAAAGCAAGCCCGTGTTAGTTAGATGTGTACCTTTTTACGCTATAATTTGTTATAACACATACTGCAAGACAGATTTCAAAGGAGTTAGAAAAATAAAGAAGAGAGAGAGAGAGAGAGAGAGAGAGAGAGAGAGAGAGAGAGAGAGAGAGACTCACAAAACACAAAAACATTCCTAACACATACATGCATTGATTTATACACTAAGGCGCACACACACGCACACGCGCGCACGCGCACACACACACACACACACACACACACACACACACACACACTCACTCACTCACATACACAAACACATAACACACACACACACACACACACACACACACACACACACAGAACACTCAAAAACATACCTAACGCATACATGCATTGATTTATACAC